AGTTTGGAGTTCTTAATCCATTGAGAAATCTTTTCACGTATCTTTCCAGTCGAAAACTTTTGATAAATTGTAAACTTATAATGATGAAAATAAGGAGAGCTTCAGAGAGATAAAGGAACTGAAAGGAAAAACTTTCTGGTTGATATAAGAAATGTTGTAAATCAACACCCTATGTGATAGCGAGTGGTCAGTTTGGAAGTTAAACAGAGAAATACCACAAAACAAAAGTTTGGAGTCATTTGTTTACTTGTTGATAAGCCACTAATGACCTTGCCTCACTCACTAATCAAGTAATCAAGTTAACTAATCCAAGAAAAAATGTTTTTCTTTCTTCCAAGTTATAAGATGTTTTATAAGATTCCAAAAGCGATGCTACCAAGCATTTATACCTTGTAAACAAAATCTTCAAGCATTGGTGACGCCTTGATAAGTCGAACAATACGAAATACTTGGAAGTAGGTAAAGATGTTCATGTTGTACAGGGACGAATCAGATTGAGGGTTGATCCTTTAAAAATGAAAATTTCAGATTTACGTGACAGAAAAAACAGCAAAACATATCCAGAAGCTATTGGCGAGAAATGACATGAAAGAGTTCTACCTAATTCCTTCATAAAAATTACGAGTAAAACAATCGAATTCCGTTTCAACTAAACGGAGCTCCATTTTTTAATGCTAAAAAGATGATTCACGTTTGCTCAACAAACTCGATACCATCAGTTTATTTGCTCTTTCAATGTGCTGTCAGCACACCCAAATACTTGTTGAATAACGGCTCTATCTAAACAGTTGAGCACCGTCAGTACCCAAAGTGCGAGAAAGTGCCTAGAAGTTTTTCTCAAAGGGAAGTTTTTTCGCGAGGTTCAGTGTGATAAAAATCAATGTTTTGGTTACTCAAAATCAAATTAACCAAGTTCAACCGCCGACAAACGGTGCATTTGGAGAAAAGCTGAATAAAAAAGTTGGTTGAACCCAACCCCTCATATACAAAAAAACTCTTAGTGGGAAGAAGATGTTGGTAATGATGCTATTTTGACGAAAAGAAAGCTATAATTGTTTGAGAGCAGTTAGAAAGGAATGAAGAGAAAGATAACTCAATTGATATGATGTAAACCGTTTCATAATTAGGTTAGACCTTACCAACGCAAAGAATGAGTTCAAACTTGTGTTGGCCGCGTCGTAGGTATCCTCTACTACCATGGCCAATCACCTTCAGAAGAGCTTCGACGTTGAACAACATCGTGAAGCAGACCTAGTAGGTTATAAAGTCTGAGTGAAACTTGATACTAGAACTAGATAACAGGCCTAATTCATTGACAAAGTCTTCAATTCCCTTACATATGAGCAACCTCATCTATCATTGCAGTAAGGAGTGTTTCTAATCCTCCTTTCAATATATATATGATGAAGAAGTTTGATATGGAAGCTGTTCACATACTTCGATATAATAGTAGATTTCCTTGCGCACGATATCGGAATGGTCGTCGTGTCGGTAAACGAAGGAGGCGTTGATGAGCGCATTAAGAAGTACCAACACCATCATCGAGATTTGAAACGCTGTACTATTCACCACCTAAAGTAATAGCATCGCTCAAGATATCTACATTAGACATCCATAGTACTGATAGATTTAGTTCCGTTATTTGTAACTGAAATCAGCTTATGCACATTGGCAGCCGAGTCAACCACTATTACTTCAATGCAAATGTTAGCCATTTGTGAAAGAAGAATCTGGACTTCTTGCTCTTACTTACAAAAACTTTCATAATTTCGCATTGAAATCAAGATTTGTCTCCTAGCTTTCTTTATGCTTTTCTTCAAAGTTAATCATAACTGCATGAATTTTTGGTATTGTTTCAGTTTATGTGATACGGAAAAGTTTCCTATGACTCTCAGCAAAATTCTCAGCATTACGTAAAGAGTCGTGAGTTCTACTTTCCAACATTCCTGATACACGCAAGCCAAATTCCAGAGTGCAACCAATTTACTTTGGTATATTCTTCTCCTAAAAGACTAAGAAAGAGAAGTGGCAAACATGTGGCTCCATGATAAGAGCAAAGTCGCTAATCCGACCTTCGCCAGTGCCAGCCAAATCACTCACATTTCCAGTGTACTTGGGTGCAAGACAATCCCAGCATCTTCAAGGATGACTGATACAAGTAAATCAATTGAAGAAGAGAGTTAGGATCTGCACAACTTACAGTGTCGAGGTGTGTAATAAATTACTGCTGTTTACCAATACTTTGAAGACTTCGATAAAAAAAATATAAGACATAAATGCAAATTGCTTCAGAATACAGATTGAAGATGAGCAACGCTAATTTGGAGAGATTTTCAACGGCATTGCTGACAAAAACGTAGAGAAAACATTGGCATGACAAAAGGATCACACGACCCACCATGTGCAGAAACTGCGGGCTATTGGTGCTTCGACTATAGTGGTCGATTTCAACTAGACGCCAACCACCTTCAAAACGTTCTAGCCGCTGAAAATCATTGAAGTGAGTGATATGAGGAACATAGATTTGTTGCTCAAAGCACCAGAAATGATATGTCCACGCATACTGAATGATGAAGCCAAAGTGTGGATCAAAAGCTCCCCAATGCTAGGGAGAAATAAAGATTTTAGAAGTGATTCTGAAAAGCTCTGGTAGCGCTGCGAGCAAGATTTCTCTTGAAATAAGTTTGAGAAATCATTAACTAAAAAAACATCAAACCTGAGTGTAGGTCTCTTCTGAAGCGCTGGTGTTACTTTGCCACATCTCACTAAACTGGACACGGATTTCAGCAAACGTTTCCGTGATTACCGCAATGAAGACATTCTAAATTTGCAAAGCAAAAATACGTCAAGAGTACATATTTTAAGGGAAGCCTACAATTACTGATGATAATCAGGATCATAAAAGAGTGAAGACTACTAAAACAGGCAATGAAGAAGTTTAATGTAAAAATTGCGACGAGAAAGACAGATCACACTAAAAACAAATATTGTGCGGGTACAAAATCACCAGATAGGTCACCTCAATGGAAACGATATTGCAACGATCCATTTTGGGAAAAGATGCGAAGTCCATGACTATGTATTCAGTCTAGATTTCTGATCAGTTTGATACATATATGAGGCTGACAGCGCTAAACTCCTTTGCCTCAATATTTCCCTACTTTGATTCCCACATTTGACAAACTAACGCCCTAAATGCATTTGGCTTAGTCGTTTTCTGGGAAGATAGCAGTAGTTTCCTACTTTCAGCTAGCAATTCTCGACGAATACGAGAGCGCGAAGTGAGTGGGAAGGTGGGTGATGGTTAACGACGTACGTTATCACGAAGCAAAGAGCTGGTTCGACTCCCTACTTCAGCGCTCTGGGACAATTATCTGGGAATACCTCAGCCTGGTTATCTTCAAGATTGCAAGATTCAATTGGGAATTATTAAGAGAGGACAATCCTCTCGCCGCAGTTGGAACGACAAGTAAAATTTTCGAATACCTTCGGAACAATGAATACGAGGAAGATGAAAAGAATGCGACAGATGCTGGGATCCGCACAATTACAGATGTGATAATGAGTCACAAAAACACAGTTTTGTAACATACACAGCGACTGACTGTTTCAAGAACTCGTTCAAGAGCAATGTAATCTGACAATGAATTTTGAGCCTTTTTTGAGGTCTGGTACTTATACAATGCAAGACACGTGTTTCTGCCTTCCCAGCCTCGTCAGTTGTACGATGTCTTTTCGTTCACTTCACGACGAACTTTTCACACCCGGCGTACGGTGAAACAATGACCGTGATGTTCTTTCGGTGTCGAGTGTGATTGAGTGCCTATTACATGGCGTATTTGCTATTACGTGGGCATATGTAATGTGGGGATGAAAGGGATGATGATAAACGATAAGTGGTGTCAAATGAGAGTAGCTTTCTCTTGAAAATATATACCATTTTGTATTTTCCAATCGATTCTTAGAAGATCTCTATTGTAAACATTCATCACGAATTTTTAGTTCCGCCTTTCTCATGTTTGAATAAGTGAAGGTTCTTGAATCACTTACCAAGCCGCCAGCTTTTAATTTAACAAACACTAACGCCACCATTAACGCCCTTTTTGAGTTATGAGCACAGTAGTGTTACATTTCCATAGATTTTTGGCCAGGCTCTTATGATTGTTCCATAACAATTTTTCTGTGAAGTTCTATACTTCCTCAGATTTCCGGATCTTTCTCTTTCATCATGTATTGATTTCCATCAACTTCAATGCCATTTCCTTACCTACCATTAATTAAATAACAACCTCACCTTGACAAGCCATGCCAGGAAGAATATCAAAGTAACAAAGTAGAAGAAAGCGACATATGAAGGTAAAGTGTCCAGACAATCGTATAGCACATAAACCCAGCCCTCCTGTGAAGCCGCCATGTACACGGTGAACAGTGATGAAGCTGAAACAATTTGCCATAAATCAATAGTTTTTTCCCGTTTTCGCACAGAATTCTGCAAGAGTAATCTTTTGCTGAATAAAGACTTTGCACTAGATTGTATTAATCAAAAGCTCGAATACTGGAAAATCAAATAATGTACTTGAGTTTTGGGAAGGTCACCTTCTGCGATGTAGCACTAGAAATAGAGCTGTTTATTGTCGCGGTTATATATCGCTGAACATAGCTCTTCTTCCAAACTACATAAAAACTTTTAGATACCGTAAATTTCAAGAACTGAAAAATGTGCCTGTTCTCTAGCAAGCTCATCTTACAGCGTTATGGCAGGAGAAATAAAATTGTGTTTTCCCGTGCGCTATCGCGTGGATTTCGTTATTCATATGACAGTTATTTCCGTTTCGTAGAAGTCTCTGAGTTTGTTGTATTGGAATTGTAGAACAAAGCTCCGTGCTACTGTTCTAGGGGTTGGGAGTCTTACTTTCAAAATTATACTATTTTCACTGCTTTTTTCGCAGTGTTATTATGTTACTTATATGACTAAGAGATTGAGTGGTGAACAAAAACACGGCCTCAGGCGGGAATCGAACCCACGTTTCATCCTATCCGGGGACGCGTGCTCTACCACTACACGAATACACGGGGCTTCTTGGCAAAGATGTGTGAATGACTGTAGATCTATAGGCCAATCAGTAGACCGCGTTGATTTGATTGACTTGTCGAGTGCGATATTTACTACTGATTTGAATCTACCTCCGCCCTGCCGAAAAATTTAGACAAACTATGACTGTGATACTCAAAGATTTCCTCTACACCTCCATATGCCTTTTGTGCTTGGGATTAGACTGCTCAGCCTAGGCTTTACTGCTTAGGCTTGGGCTTAGCAGCGCTTTCGTTTTGCAATATAAAATGAAAGTAAGACTAAGAGATTGAGTGGTGAACAAAAAACACGGCCTCAGGCGGGAATCGAACCCACGTTTCATCCTGCGTGGTGTGTTCGGAGTCCAACCTAATTTCCCCTACTACAGTGCAATTAAACGGTCTCTTCAAAAAACTTTCACAGTACTGGAATTGTCGAAATTTAGGCTATCGAATGGTTACTTATAATCTAATGGAACTGCTCTGTCCTGCAAGAAAAATGTGTATGTGAAACACAAATTTTTTGTAGTGACGCTGTAAGATGACCCTTCAAGAAAGCAACACACATTTTTACATTTTTCGAGATTTGCGCTATCAAACGACTATTAGTAGTCTAAGCGAAGAGTTCTGTCCTGCGAAAAATACGGGCAATGCAATTGAAACACAATTTTTATATCCAGTACTACAGCGATGTAAAAAGGTCTTTTGAAATAACAAGTAAATTTTTGAATTTTCCGAGATAAAAACTATTGGATCATTTCTGAGAGTTTTGTGGAAAGTCTTTGTCTAGCAACGTCAAAGTCTTTGTCTGTCTGTAATGTCTTCAAAAATCTCTGCCCAATAACAGAAAAAAAGCAAATGATTTGTCTCTTCTTTAACGTGAAGTAAAACCTAACAAGTGGCTTTTTAGCAATCTAACTGCCACTCAAGAACGCATTAGGTTTTCATCATAAGCACTGAGCACCCACCAAAATCGTTGAACATCCCATAGAAACCTTCGACATGAGCGGACATGTCCAGCTTCATGCAAACCATATTGTCGGGGCATTCATAGCCTCCTAAATACAAATTGCTCACAAAAATCATTTGACGTACGGTATTTGTTCAATGTTCAATTTATGGAAATAGAGCGCATGTGGCGCAGTGGTTAGAGGTACTCTGCGTCGCACACGAGGTCAATGGTTCGATTTCGCGCACATGGCTCACCAAGTCATCAATCCCTCCGGGGTCGGTAAATTGGCACTAAACTGGTCTCAGACTTGTCTGGGAGGATAAGCAGCACTGACTGGTTTAGCGGGAGGCCACCGGGAGTCATTGTAAAGGCCACATATGCATTCAATCACCTCAAACGAAGTCAAAAATTGAAGTCGAATGCATGGCGCATCCCTTAGAGATTGATCAACGCCGAGAGCTTTATCCTTTTTTTATTTATTTATGGAAATGCGGCAAAGGAGGAATAACAGAATGTCGATTGAAAGTCATAAAGCGGAAGGAATGCGACAAGATTAATATCTAAATGATCTGCCAAAATTTATGATACAGGAATCTCAGAGCAGCACTTTGATAAGAAAACTACCTCATTTTCCTGAACTTGCCGACTATATTGCAGTGTTAATGCTGGAAGAGGTCTATATAATCGCCTCTTTCATTGTAGACCTGATCAGTACATTTACGACAAAGCGGCTTCCGTTTGAGCGTCACTCTTTTGCAATGATTCATCTTGCATACGATTTTTCCTAAGCTTTTGGCAATTAATTGACAGCTCATAAAATGTAGATGTGAAACCACAAATGGCTTAGTCAAAGCTATCCTCTGTTTTGCCACTTGATTATTTGCAGCAAACGTCGTTATAAAAATGAACACAAGAATTTTCATCGATGCATTCACATAAGCCAAACCCCGATAAATTACAAGCACTCCAGAATAAAACTCTGTGTACTAAAATTGACTATTGGAAAATAAGAATACGTGCTTTATATGCGAAACTTTGTCGTCAATATGCTAAAAATTTTCAGTGATCGACTTTGGATTTTGAAGCTCGTATGAGATTCTCCCCTTTTATTGATGAGACGTGCACGAGGTTATTTTGAATCTCCGACATGGCCAACGTTTCGGCAATCTCTTCATGAGAACCACGACGGTTCCAGCCGAGGGTTCACAGCAGTTGTTCTTGCGATGTTGATCTCATCAGCCAGAACATCGAAACGCGACGAGTCAAGTTGAGTGGATTACTGCACGAACCAAATCTTCGTGGCCTTGTTAAAGACGATACCGCCGAAACGTTAGCCATGTTAAAGATAAATCCACGAGTAAGCCCTATCAGCGGTAAGAGAAAATTGACCAATTACATCGAAGTTCAATGGAAGAAGGAATTCAAGGTTCGTGTGAGAGTTGCTCATAGGTTCTGACCTTCGCCTTTTTGCGAGCACATCGTGTCTGGAATCGCTAAGTCGGCGATCGTGACGTTACGAGGATCGGTGCCAGTCAACACGCAGTGGTAGTCCATACGACCTGAAAAAGAGCGTCATGAAGTATGAAATTTCAGTGATGATTCCTCTACACTTTTCAGGACGATGACGTTGAAACATGGGCAATAAGTTCATACCATTGTTAAGCACAATGAAAGTAAGAGACAGATGTCATCCATTTTCACTGCAATCAAAAGTCGATAGTGGATCAAATCCAACCTTTCGGTGAATAGTGAAAGATTTGCACAGCCAGATGCCAAGACCTAACCCCCTAAAAGTAGCACTCACCAAACAACTGCACACCCATAATAGCATAGAGAGCCATAAAGAACATGAAGAAGATGGTGACATTTTGAATTTGTTGTGAAGATCTCCTGAACGAAACGGATTACCTGGCGCAGAGGCAGTCAGAATAACCCCGTTCTTTGGGAGACAGATCAGAGGCATAAGGGAATGAATCTATTTAATCTTTTTGAATTGATCGGTCACTGCACTTCTACACAGTTTTTGAACTAAAATTCCCGATTTTTGGCGGCGTTATTGTTGAGAACTCACTGTTGAGGAAGCGCCCAAGTGACCAATTTTCCCGGACTGGTACTGAGAAAACTAAAATACCAATTAAAGGCGGCAACGAATCGCGATGAGATCAAAAGCCCTGTCTCTTCCCAAAAAGTAAAAAATAACTAGGATGTGAATATCCATAAAAATAAGGATAATTAAGGTGAAATAAAAGGGGAAAAAGTAGAACGTTCTTTTTGAAACGTACTTGATAATCTGTTCAATGCGATTTCGAGGTAACTTAAAACGAACAAGAGATCGAATGAGACGCAACATGATGAACGGTCGAGGTGAGCGAATCACACCGTACCATGGACGATACTGTAAGCAATATGGATTTTTCATTGACACGTTCTCATGAGCACAGGTGCTTTCTTCTCGTAATATTTGCTTAGAAAAGATCTCAAAATGTTGCAGTCACAGGGCCTTTGGGACGTGGCACCTTGATATCTCAAAGATTACGGAATTTATAATTTATAAACATAATTTAAGGGGTTTTGCTGCTAGGAGCTGATGCTATGCAGTGAAAGTACTGCTAGGAGTTATGATGTGATGAAAGTGTGAAATCAGTTGAAATGAAATCTGCTGCAAATAAAGATCCACATGAAAAAGGAATTTCTGGCGGATTACGCCTTATGTGATTTTTGATTAGCGGAATGAGAACAGTACTGACGACGAATCCTAATGAAGGCACGAGAATGGTGAACAGTTCGTAGCAGTGCAAAGCGCAAGACATCACGTGCATCAGCAACATGAAGAGATCGAACTGCGACCATCGGGCTCGTAGATACGACGATTCGTCCTAAATACATCCAATTTGTGTTCGAATTTTTAGAAACAGAAATCTCAGCATCTCGTTCATCAACTCAAAAAATGTTGCGTTATTGGATAATTCTTTCCATGAAAGATAGCAACCCCACAATCAAAAGTTAAAACGCGATATTATATTAAAACCGATGAAAAAACAAGAAACTATCAGATCAGAATTTTGGGCGCTAATTTATGTTCTAAGGTAACATGCGACGCTGAAGGCATTAGGCATTGTTACTGAATATCAATGCGAAGATCTGTGCGATTGATTTATTTGATACCATCTGCACCAGCTCTCAAATTCACACAATAAATCTTTTTCTGAATTAATAATGCAGGGCTTAATGTGGGGCGGGGGTCACTGAAGAGGAGGCCTAAACCTCTGAAACACCAGCGTATGACCGTGGCGTACCAACCTCGTTTAGGCTTTAAACATTCTTTTTTCAGACATACTTTTCTGAATAATTGTCAGCCTTTGGAAAATACACTATTTTCGAAGGTAAACCTGGTGCAGTACAAGCGTTGAATAAGATATTACTTTATAACAAAAATTATATCTAAGAAATATATACCGAAGGAATGCAGTGACATCACAGTGCGTCTCACACTGCGTGCTTGAGTTTCTAGTGTTTTTTTAAGATAGCTCAAATTTCAATATGCCAGTAATCATTTTTGAGCCACGCATGTCACGTGGTCTGTTAAAATGGCTGACTTATAGCGTGGCTCAAAAATGGTTATTTGGGATGTTGAAACTTGAGCTGTGATTTTAAGAAAACACTCGAAACGAAAGATGTGATATATTAAATATACTAGCCAAGAGCAATCGAGTGTACAACACTATGGTTCAGTGAAAATTTTACAGAACATAGAGTGTAGACGTTCGTCGTCGCTAACTCTTGGTGTGTGGGCTGGGGCACCCCCACAGGATTGGCAAAAGACGAGAAAGGGTAAATGCCCGACTTACGAGACCTCGAGGTTGAAACACGTGTATCAGGTTCTATAAGTCAGCCCATTCTAATAGACCACATGACATACGTGGCTCAAAAATGGTTATTTGGTACAAAAAAGTTTTGTTTCTGATTTAAGCGTTGATCGCTCCACGAGCGTGTTATTGAACAAGATATCGGCAAAGTTCCAATTAATTTTGCATTGCGATTGCTCGTCGACTCAT